CACATGTACTCTATCGCCTCTCTCCTCTTCTTCTTAGTTCAGCTGTAACACCCTTTCGGTGCCTGACTGCCGTGCCACCAGAAGAAAGCACGAGGGCTGGGATGCTGTCAGGTTGCCCAAGCCAAGACAGGGAAGTTCAGAGGCAGAGGTCGGGTTCGAACTACGGACCTTCCGATCAGTAAATTCACGCTCTAGTCACTATGCCATCTCACCCATCGTATCCACGCTCTAGTACCTCAATTTCGCGGAATACCGTCATTTACAGTTTGTTCTGGAGTGGATCACAGTTTTTATAATACCGAGAATCCGAATTTGGATAGCTGCTTGATGGTCAGACGCGCTTAGCCAAGCCAGAAAGCCAATGAACGTGCGAATCAGCTGATCCATTGAGCACTGACGCATACAGGCGTGTGATGTGCAGCCGAAAACGGGCCGTTTATATAGTCCACGTGGAAAGTTCTAGGCTGGCCAAAAAGTCATACTAAAATTGGAACTTATCCTTCAAGGGCAAGTGAAGAACAACCAATTAAATATGTCTCAACGAGAACGGCTATTCCATTGGCAGTTGTGTAGTCCAGTTACGTTTGGAGCTGGTTCTCCTATGACAAACAAATTTGGTTTTGAGGAGACTCACCTGGAACCCTCGTTTGTGGTGTTTACAAGCAACCACCGGTTCGCTATCTAACACTTGCTTCAAGGAAAACATATCACAGTATACTGTCATACAAGGAATTACCCGGACTCCGCAAGTGTTTGTAGAGTTTTCATAAAGGAAACTACTCACAAGGTTGATGAAAACTCTTAGCCGACGACCGTTTCCGCCTTTTTTGGGGCTCATCAGGTAGGCCCAGCCCCCCCAGTTTCCGTTGACCTTATGTTCTACTTGAACTACTAGATTTACAGAAGTTCATCTAATTCGAACCCGACAACTTAAATTGAAACTCAAAAACTCGTAATTTTTTATTTTGGTTCTCCCACTACGGAATATTTCTTGTAGAATAAATGTTTTCATTAGCTGACTGTGCCTACTCAAAATTAGTCTCCAACAGTACCCAGGCTACTTTTCAAAATCGCCGTTGAATTTTGCTGTCGATACAACCAAATCGTGGTATAATATTCCTCCTCATGTAAACAGTTACGTTACTTAATTTTATTGGAATCATTTTTTGACCTTTACCGATCGACTTCCATGATTAAAAAGACTGGATCGTTGGCTGTCCTCTAAAATTCACCAAAATCGTGAGTACTGTACTATGTTCGGATTCCAGCGGCTGATACCCCTCTGTTTTCCACCCACCCACTGTTCTCGTCGGTTGCCGATGCGACAGTTTCTCTGACAATACAATGACGGAATAAACCACGAAACAGGCAATCCTATCATGTCATCTCATCCCACGATAGAGATAAGTAAATTCTGAAGTTTGATGGTGGGAGCATTCTAGGCAATGGAACCAGTTAAACAAGTTTGGATACTCTACCTTGGGGAGGTTTCTCTTGTAAGCGTGAATTGTCTCCCTTCATGAGTGTATTCTGGGTTTGGTAATTTGAAGGGGGCTTCATCTGCTCCAACGAATTCTCAGAACTGGAGGACTTTGGTACACACTCCGCGCTCTGTCGAAGGGAATAAAGGTAGAAGATAGCAACACGTGACTACTGTGGCCGATTCATTGGGTTACATTAAGTTGTGAAACGTTCGAGAAAGAACAATTTTTCCCCTGGAACCTGGCTTTCATTTGGTGGATGTATCCAAATACACTTTCATAGACAATTTTCGGGAAGTTACTCAAATTATATCCAGAGGGACAATCGCAAACGAGAGATTCAGCTAAGTTCAAGGTGAGCCTCTCGCGAAAAGACAAATTTGTTGCAAATGAGTGTTTTTCGCTACATCCAGGGATATTTATACGTTCATCTCAAATTTGTCTTATTGTGATATCGTAAGCCATCTAGAACAATTTCTTTTAATTCAATGTACCAGCATTTTTACATGAACAGCCCCTATTCTGTCCGGAGGCCAGCCGCCCCTAATAATCGAACATCACATCGTTTGGACGGATGTGTCATGTGCAGGACTCGGGCCAAACGAAGGCATGCCCTGATTGGTCAGAGTGCGAGCCAATCCGGATCGAGCATCTTTGACTCGACGCTTCTCGCCCCGTCACGGGGATTATGGCACGACCTTGAGGAACACTCTGTGACTGTCCTATGAATGCAGTTTTAATTTTTTTGTCTCCATAAGGGACTGTACAGAGTTGCCGTGCCTTTTAATATACCATAGTGGGCGGAGCAGGAAGCCAGGGGACCCCTTTCAGGGGGTCATTCGGCTGAGTTACTGGCTACATGTAACAAAGAAATCCTACTCAGTCAAAGAGGAGAAAATTTCTGAACTCCTCTGTGGACCGACTATCTCAAAAACCGCAGAATCGCTGATGATGCATCTGATGACGAAATTTTGAATTTTACAGACTTAATGATCAAACGAATCTGATGAAGGCCACTGCCGTAATCTTCTTTTCTGAGTCAGATGGATATGACTTCGTATCGTCTTATGAGCGGCGTGAGTACGCGCTTTCCATGGAATTACCACAGTTGATGTTACCAAATTCAGTGGCTTCCATACTCTCCTTTTGAAACCCTGTGTTTCTTTTAAGAACATGAGGGCCTTTTATGGTGCTTCATTGGAGGCGTTGTACCGTTTGTAAGCGATTCAATTGTTGAAGGCCGGTCTTAGAGACCGACTACGAAGGCTTCATTGTTGAAACTCTACAGCCAAAGACGAACAATTATGTTTTTAAAACCACCAACCGCCTGTGGAAAAAAACGAGATTACCCGATGCATTTGTGTCTGTGTAAATCGCATGCTATCCCACTGAAATACCTAAAGGTGACCTCTAAAATGATGTCAGTTACAAACCGTTTACCGTTTGTTTACAAACCGTAGCCATTTATGACCATTTGAGACCAGGAGAACCTGTTTGGAGATGACCAGTATATATATATATATATATATATATATATATATATATATAGCAACCGATTCGAGTTTGCTAAGCATCCCGGGTGAACCACCCTAGTTCTAGATATCTTTGGGCAAAGCCGAAACTGGTGTCGTGCAAGCCCCTG